GAAATCAGAAAAGGTTCTGAAGAGGGCCGAGTGAGGAAAGTCAGGGGCCCAGGGTTATCTGTGGGGAAATATTGTGGGTCCCAGGGTCCTTCCATGAGGCTCAGAAGAGACTAAAGGGGGATGGCCCTAACTGTAGACTTCAGCTATTTCAAGGAGAGTTACAAAGACAGTGGAAGCAAACTCTTGGTAGCAACAGATGGTCAGAAAAAGGCAGAGGGAATGGATACAAGTTGTATTTTGGGTAACTCAGCCAGGACATAAGGCAAAATTTCTTAGTAAGGTGAGTATGGCAGCACTGGGTGCAAATTACTGAAAGAAATGGTAGAGCCTCTATCATGGAAGGTTTCTAAGTCTCCTGTGGGCAACAGCATTATTCCTAGTGGTAGGTCCAGAGGTCCCCTCAACCACCATTTATGTGGTCCTTTGACAACAGATACCAGATGATGATGCAATGAAACAGCTTCTATGAGCAAAGCTTACACAGTGGAACTTCTATGTCACCTAAACTTTACCGGAGGACACATGAACATAGTCATTGTTAATTCTTTGTATAGAAAAAAATGGGTTAATTAAGGTATTTGTGATTATTAGTTGCTGAATATAAATAGTGGGACTTATTTTGTACTGTGCTAAACTTGTGTCAGTCACATCTTGCACCTCTTGTACCAGATCTATAGAATTATAATACACATTTGTGCTGGTTTAAAAGTTAACCAGCAGGGGAAATGAACTCAACTCAAAAGAGAGATTATAAGTCAGAATAACAATTTATTAAAATAATACAATAAGTACGATTATACAGACAAACAATTGGTTTTAACCCACAAAACCCAAATGTATAACCCAGCACCCTGGGGCATGAACAAAAGTGGTGTTCCTTGCCCCACCCCCCCAAGTCCAAAGTAAAGGGAGAGGGGAAAAACCTGCTGGTGGGAGAGCTGTTGCAGTCTGGTCAGAGAGTGGTGATTGCAGTCCAGTTGAGGGTGGTGGTCTCAGTCTGGCTGAGAGCGGTGATCTGCAGTCTTCCTCTGGATCCCACGAGTGGTAAAAAGGTTCCAAAACCCCAAGTTTATATATTCTCCAGTTCAGGCGGGAATGCTCAGTCCCTCCCTCAGAGTGGGGAATTCCATAAAAGGGTATGAGGATGCTCAGTCCTTCCCTCAGAGTGGGGAATTCCATAAAAGGGTATGAGGACAGGAACATCTTCCTATCTCGCAGGCCTCTACTGATAACAGTTTCTGGGAAATGGCATGGAAGGCTATAGAATACACAGTTTTGGGTTACACCCATCCAGTGATGAATTGGTCCCAGCTGTTCTAACTAGGACAACATTATTTTCAACCAGCTTTGGTTATTAGAATTTACAGAGACATCAGCAGACTGGATGACAGTCACTGGTTTTCTCTAAGTCTCTTGTTGCATAGAGATTATAAAAAAAAAAAGGCCCTTTATATATGGGTCTTTTGAAGCCTCCAGCAACTTATTTTTCTGGATCATTAATGTGCTTCTGTTAACTTTTTGAGGTAATGTGTTCAGACTTAGGCAAATTTTACAATTTCATCAGAACTAAAGTATGCTTAGAGCACACTGAATTATAGCTCAATTAATTTTGCATTCTAATTAAGTGGAAGACAGTCTTGTCACTGACAAGTCTCTTTTCTGTGCTAAATCTATCCTGCTTCAGGTGTGATGCAGAGAATGAGAATAACTTATATAAACAGATGAAAACAGATCCGAGCTCTTGTCTGCACTACATAAGATACTAGCCAGCTTCAGCCTGGATCTGTAGCCATGGCAGTGCAATACTGTGCCACTGCCTGCATAGTCCCTACCTACCAGCTTCTTTCCTGAGCCACTCACTGCTCTCTGCCTACTAGCTCAGCAGAGCACACAGCATAAATAGAGGGGCTTAGGTGCACCTTACTACAATCTGTAGAAATACCTGCTGAGGAAAAAAGGTCAACAAGCTCTCAAAGAAGGGAAAAATAGGTAAGATCAGAATCATTCCAGCAGCAGGCTCAGCTTTAGGGATTGCCTTGCCCATAAGTTACTGCCTGGCGGGCACACAGAGTAGATCTGTCTCAAGCACTAGCCAGCAGTCCGGTTTGTAACACTGAACTTGTCTAGCATGGTACTCTGAAGAGGTCTTAAAATTTTAAGTTTGTACCAGCAGTTTCCTTGTCTGCTTCCAGTGTCCTCTGATTCTGATTTAACTGGAGATTTTATTTTCCCTTATTCTTGGTTATAATAAAAAAGCAGTAATTGTTTAAACCCTGTTGGACAGCCAGCCTTTGCTATAGATCATACAAAGAATGTGATGTGTACGTGATAAACAATGTGCTTCAATTCCAGGTGGCTTTGAAATAGACACATGATTATCTTCCTGTAATCCACTTATTACATAAATTTTCTTGCAGAATTGGTCCAGATGTCCTCTTCTTTCCCTCTCCTCCCTCAGAGGAATTAAAAACTACAGAGATTATCTCAGCATGCACCTATAGGAACACAAGCAATTATTTGCAGTACCTATAGATAAAAAAATTTGATCAGTGCTATGAAAAAATCCTGTTATGTCATCACAAACCTAAGCAAATGTGGTGCAATGTCAGAGTCTGAAAGCTGTGTGGAGTAGGTCAGTGGTTCCTGAGTATATCACTGGATGCAGCCCTACTACCTGCCTTCTTTCCAGGACTGTTAACTGCCTCTTTGAAATTCTGGAAGCACAGTTTACAGAGCCCACAGAAGTCCTGTGGTTTGCTCATTTATACTCCACTCTGCTGTAGTCACAGAATCAATGATCCTGCTGGGCTGGCAGTTCAGGAAATTCTTTCTTCTTATTATTGTTTCTTTGTACATGGATGCCTTTTTTATTTTCTGGGTCATTTCCCATATGCCCATTTCTGGGTCATAGACTTTTCTTTTTCTAGGTGTCTGATACAGAATGAGATCAGAGCTGTCTCTCTCACAATGGCATTAGGTAACAAGCTTGACTGCAAGTCAGTAACTCAGCAAATTCTCAACTCAGTCACATCTAAACATAAGGCTTCAATGGACTGGATACTTCTCACAAACAAATGCCAGTAGTAGTTTCCAGCATTTACTACAATTTTAAACTGCAAAGGATAAACAGTATGGTTTCTTGTCCTTGAGTCACAGGAACAACTGAATCCTGGAATAAATGATTGCTTGTCTTATGTTACGTATTTGTAGGGAACAGAAGACACAAGGAATGAGAACCATGGACTTAGACCTCAGCCTGTGACGTGAAGAAACCAGCTCCAATTCACCACCTTCTGGTTCCATGACTCTGCCTTCTCTCATCTTCAGAGATGAGTTGGATGACTTTTGCTCCCCGCTCAAGAGTGAAGAACACCCAGTCTGCCCTCTCACTGTCAGGAAAACAGATATTCCTCTCCCCTTCCCCACCTTCAGGTGCCACTAAGAGAACTTCACTGTTTCCTGGGCCTGACAGTCAGCTTTCCTTTCTGGTCATGTTGTAACCTCTCTGCATAATACATTCACTGTCCTAGGGCTGAGCTGTAAATACACCAGGCCTAGGATACAAAAAGGACACATGTCTAACATAGAATAAGATACTGAAACCCACATCTGATTATTTTAGACTTTAAATTACTAGAGCTCTTTGCAGTATTTTATAAGGAATTAATAGCACACGAACACACATTCACCTGCTATGAAATAAGAAGACCAGACACTGTACCCATGAGGAAAAAACTGCCACATATGTACTAAATTGGACTTTGATACTGCAGGCAACAACTCTCTGCAACTGCCTAACAAACCCTGAGCTGCCCATAAGCAGAGAAGCCCTGCAGACATACGCAGGGCTCCTCCACCAGAGCTGGCAGATGGCAGAGGCAGTAGATCCAAAAGAAGCCTGGAGGGAACTACACAAGGGATGCAGCAGCATTAACAATATGCTGAAATAACTAACAGGGAGAAAAAGGAAGAAAATAGCCAGCCCAAAACTGATAAGAGATCTTTAATTTAAAAACTAACTAGGTTTATTCATTGGGAAAGTGCAACAAAATACCCCAGGGATAGTGCATTCCACTCCAGCAATTAAAATTGCATTAAAAAGCAGATAGGAAAGTCTGAGTCTTAAAAGAACTGGCACAAAAGCTGGTGCTTTTCTTTGTTTCAATACATTTATCTTTGGGTGACAAAGATAGTCACTGATTAATTTTTTAGGTACTTAATTTACAACTTCATTGCTTCTATTTGCAAGTCATTCTGTTCCTTAAAGATGTTAGCTTGGGACTGGGAACCATAATGCACAGGCACTTAAGGGGGGGGCAGTTTTGAAAGAATAGAGATGTTGGGCTCAGTCACATACTGTTGGGAGGAGACCCAGCTGGGAGCTACTAGATATTCTAAGTAGATATTGCCCCCAGTTGTTTCTCTCTAAAATCTAAGATATGAAAAAATGTCCAGTACCACTCATAAAAGCAGATTCTGCTGCAGCCAAGAGGGTGCAAGCAGGAAAAAGGAGAGCACAGGACTACAGCAAGCTTATAGCAGGTGTCGTTTAAGGGAGCTGCCAGTTTCTGACCACTGAACCAATTTTTGCTGTAGAGGTAATTCTCTTCAAAATGCTGCAGGTAAGTCTCACACCTATAGCAGCCCATCCTCATTTATATTTGCTACTGCACTTCAGCTGAGCTTTACAAGCCAAACAAGATTCTTTTATACATAGCAAATATGTATCTTTTGCTGACACTTTCTGCCTAATGATTTCAAAATACTTAAAGAGCATCACTCACAAAGCTTAAACTAAGCTTAACCAAACGCTTAAACCATTTAAGCTTAGCCAAGCTTAAAATTCTCTGGCATACAGATATTTTAAAGAGAACAGAGTAAACATCTGCAACAAAATGGCAAGAGTTCATCTCCTGAGTCTCAGTCCTGAACTTAACCCTTCTTTTCATTTTAAATTCTTTTTCTCCCCCCACCTATTTCTTACAGCAAGCAGGACTACATTTATTCTGCACAAGTTTATTATCCCAATACAGACAAGTGACTTGCAATATTACATTAGTTCCTAATTCCATATGGAGGTTGCCTGTCCCATCCATGCCAGCACAATCTCCTGGTCTCAGCTGACTGTATTTGGTTTATGTCTCTTGCCTCTGCTGTTCTCCTCATGGTGACTGTCTTCAGAGGGTGCTTGGCCCTTTCCATTTGTGTCAGAATTCTCTGGAAATTTCTGACCCTCAGCCAACACCTGCCGAATAGTCATATTAATGCGGGAAGACTGCAGGTACTTGGCACACACCTGCCAGTCCTCATCAGAGCTGTGTTCAATGACTGAGCCAACAGGAAGGTCTGAAGGAAGTGCTTGGTTGAGGCAGGAAGGCACGGCTGTCCCCTCAGGGTTGGGGAGCACACGGGGGACAGCGTGGTACAGCAGGCGGCTCAAGCCAGACATCACCATGATATCTCCGCTGTGCATGAACATCGCTGTTGGGGCCTCCTCCCGCTTACGGCCCCCAAGCAAAAATATTGAGGATTGCCCAAAACTAGAGATGGTATAAGGATGGAGAGAGAAGAGAAAACAAATTCAGGTAGAGAACAACTATCTGTACAATAAAAAAATTTCAGTAGCTAAATCCCTTTATAAAAACCCCACGCAATCATGAAAACTAGATGGACTCCTAGTAACAACTTTACAATTAGAAAATGAAAAACAGACTAAGAGGCCTGGTTCAAGATAGGCACTGTGTGAGCAGTTGTCCTGCCAGTGTGAAGCTCTGCTGAGTTATTTCATTCTTGCCTGTTAGTACCCAATGGACACTCTGCTGCTTTAGAGCAGAACAGTGCTCTGTGCAAAGAATTCTTCCACTCCAGGCACTACATCCATGCTATTCAAGCAGTCCTCAAAGAAAAACCTAAAGTCCCTCAACTACAGTCTTCTGCTATTAAAATCTTCAGAGAGTGAAGATTATATACCCAATTAGCAAACTACATCATACTGGCTTCCTATAACCATATGCAACTCTAGAAAATAGCCACTAATCTTTCCACAACACTCAAGTGCTTTCCTTGACTTACCTGAATGATAAAAGGGGCCGAGAATGGTCTAGTTCAGACTCATCCACATGAATTCCCAGTGAAGAGTCAAAATGATAGTAGTTCAAGATCCCTGCTTGGGCTTGGAAACCCCTGAAACCACAGGCTGCAGCCACTTGTTCTGACAGGAATGCAAGGTCTGAGGGGAAAGGAGTGTGGTGATTTGCTGAGTACTTCTGGAAGAAGGAGAGCAAGGAAAAAAAAAAAACAAACAAAGCCACACCCAACACATCAGAGTAGCAAATACAATTGGAAACAAACATTGAACAAGAACTCAAAAGTCTGGCTGATAGTCACAGAGAAGGACATAACGTTTGCCTAGAAAATGACTACAACACAGGCAGAACTACAGCAAGTTTACCTCTTATCATTAAATTCTTGGCCTGTGCTGAGACTGCCAGAGATTCAATTAATCATGGAGTTAATAATTTTATTTAGATGCTAAACTTGAAGGCAGTAAGATTAGTACCAACATCCTGAGGATCTTCTCAGTCACAACCTAAAGCTGCCAACAGAAAGACAGTTCTGTAGCTCATCAAGAGAACTACGAAACAAGCATCTTCATCCCTTTTTGAAGAATAAGAAACAGGAGTTGATTGCAAAACTACTTTTTCTCTCTCCCATGAGTGATTCTGAGAGGACTGGAAGAGAATACCCACACTTTTATTAAGGCCATCCAATAAACAGGTTGATCTGGTAAATAAAAGGCTGCAAGCAGATTTGGTTACCTTCAATATACTGATAAGATGCATATCCATTCTGCCAGTCTTTCTCAGCCTCCATCTAACTCAGTCTTATGAAAACAATTTTATTTTCATCAGGAGCCTCAAAACAGCTGTTAGTTGGTAAGACTGGTTCAGAATCATTTAAGTTCAAAATCACAGGAGCAGCCGTCTCTTCTTGCTCCTGTTCATCCCTTCAAAGAGGAGTAGCTTCTCAGAAGTCATTCTGACCTTAAGTAGTTAACAATGCTTTTGTGATCATCCCTTTTGGTAGGATAAAAATGCTCACTTACCCTGACATAAGAGTTGCAGGTCTAGAGCTGAGTGTATGCTATCACGTTAACTCTCAAAGGAAAGAATGCAGCAATGGATTTGTGCTGTTAAATCCTTCACAGTGAACTAATACAGATTAAAATGTTCTTTAAAAGATTGTCTTGTAGAATCATACGTGTTTTATTTGATGATGTCCTCCTCTGTTTGCCATTTTGAGTGCTTACAGCTAACAAAAACGGAGAAGAATTTAATTCCAATACCTTAGTATCCCAGTTATAATGGTAACCAAGGGTCACCCAGCGCAGCTTCTCCAATAAGCTTCTGGGCTCCCGTTTACTGGAACCTTTCCTTCTACAAAGACAAAATGGAAAGAAAGAGAACACGTGTGAATTTCTGAGAGCTCTTCTGGTAATGCAGCATACAGTAATGAGATTCACTCATCTATACAACAACCTATTAAAACTAATCAATGCTAAACTTTTATTTTCAGTGCCCATACTGTTTTCCTCTGAAGACCTTGCAAATTTAGTTCATGCAATCTGTGCAAGCTATGGGGCCTGCTGCCAACTGCTGTCAGTTTGAAAGCTGGTGTTTTCAACATGGTACCTAACAGGTTATCAGATGGAGACAACACAATGAACTGGTGCAGATTTAGAAGTCAGAATTAAACATACACTATTTGAGCACCTGAAAGTGAAAGACCAGAATCTGAAGATCTGAAAGCTGCAAATGCAATGAAAAAATATTCTAGGCACTTAATAGAAAATTACAAGAAAGGAAAATTATTTGCCTCACAGTGAAGCATAGCATGCTGCCTAATACTGCAAAGGACAGTTCTACTACTTGGAACTTTGACAAGAAGTCCTTAGGATGGTCTGACTCAATGTTCAGTAAGAAGCAAGACTACTCTAGCTATGACCATACACTTGTAACATCAAGAAGTCTAGACTGCAGGTGTCCCCTATCTGCTATGCAAGAAAAAGAACTGTTCTTCTTAAGTGATAATCCTAAAGCAGGACCGAGTGCTCTGATGCCACACACCAATTTACCATTCTTACTTGAAGGTGGCAAAGGCAGGACGAGACTTCAGGGAAGGGCTTTTAGTATGGCCTATGGAAATGTTCTTGAAAAGTTACAGAGTATAAGTAAGTAAATTGAAACACCTTAGTGACAAATAGGAAAAGGAAGGTACACAAATATCTTCTAGTCCACTCATTCCAGTAATTTCAGCTTATTTTCTCAAGCCAAGTCAAGTGTTACAGTAAAAAAAAAACAACAAACACAACGAAAAATAAAATATACTCAGAAGATCCCAATAAACAGTAGCACCAGACAGTTGGCTCTCATTTATAGCCTCTTTAGTTCAGCATGACATGCTCTCTTACAAAACTTAATATTTGTGCTGCCATGGTCAAGTCTCAGTCAAGCATCTGCATTTGATGCGTTTTTCTACCTGCGTATGCAGCTTGTTTCTGCCCTTCAACTCTACCATACTGATAGCTCCTAAGATAAACCAGGAACAGGAGTAAAAAGCCAGTTTCTTTGCCTTTAGTAATTTTTCTTAGCTCATTGATTATTGAAAGAAAGTAGTCTTTCCAGTTTCCATCTTTGTCATAGGTAACAGCAACACAGTAACTGCCACGTACATTCTGCTTGGAACAATTTCTGGAGCCTATAAGCAGGTAACACAGCATTCAGAAAAGAGAGAGCCCACAACTTGTTTCTGAACATCTTCAATTAATAGATAATGTTAATAATTGAACACTTTTAGCAAATGCCTTTTGAAAGTGCCCTTCTTTCACTATAGTGCTAGAGCATTTGCACAACAGTGGGAACCCCAAAATGCTCTGGAGGTCCTTATTCCCAGAACTTGATTTTTGCATGTGATTTCTAAGAAGAAGAAAGTCTTAGTGTCATGTATCTGGAAACAATTGAGTTCCTAGATCTGAGCAGCAGGTGCTCCTACAAGAAAGCACAGAGAAATTCTGGTATAACTATGTTAGAACAGGACTGAGCAGCATGGGGGCTGTGGTCTGAAGCTCCCTTGTTTCTTTATTCACTGGTAAATGATAGCATCTATAAAACTCTGCCAGCCTTTTCCTTAGACACAGGAACATACATACATACATATATATGTATATCCCCTGCAGGGATTCTCTGCCCCCTTTTATGCTTTTAATCGTCCCCAGCACTACAGAAAATACTAAAGCTCCACTTTGTGAGGCAAGCATAGTGTATATATATGTCTAGGAACCGTATCAACTCTTCCTATTTTGTGATTCCTGCATCCTGAAAAAAGCAAATAAGCCATGATCCAAGCACATTTATGCATCTTCCTGATGGCTTTAAAAAGTATTAATCTTGGAAATGGACATCTTTTTAGTTAAGTAGTTTCTCCCCTCCCTGAAAGACTCTCACTCCAAATACTAGAGAAGTTGGCTACTTTGATCTGCTGCCCCTGGGTATAAGCACAAATACAGCAGTTTGCTCACTTGAAGACTCAGGCAAGTGCTTAATAAAACTGCCAGTGTTTCTGCCAGCCATCACTCTTCCAAACGCTGTTTTCAACTGAACTGGATTCAGCTGCAAATTAACCTCTGTTCTGATCATTCTCTGCGTGCAGGAGGTGCTGCTGGGAGAGGCCTGTCAAGCTGGAACAATACCCCACTTTTTTCAGCTATTGGGCACAATGCACAATCCTTTCAAAGAACAATTTTTCATCCTTGATGGAACACAAAAAAGGCGTCTGAATTTCTGTAACTAATTCTAACTGAGCCTGAAAAACACAAACGAGGGCATAACTTCTCTCCTAGGAGCAAATAGTTAGATGTCCAAATCTTGCTTTTGCCATTCCATGTCTTGTAGATATTAAGAGTATTTTTAAAGAAAACTCTCAGCATGTCGATCTTGATAAAAAAACTGAGGTGGAAGATGAGCGTTGTAGGGAACTTTGGTTGCACCATCACATGAAACAATTGTTAGGGAAAATGAGCAGTGAAATCAATAAAGTAATGATAAATACCCAAATAGCTAAAAGATAGATGCTGTTTACAGTACACAATCTTGTATGTATCTTTACAGGTGACTTCATTCAAGTTCAGGCTTTAAAGACTTTATCTTTTTTTCAAAAACTTGTTACTTGACTTCAAAACTGGGACAAATTCTCCATTAAATTCCAAATCAGGTAGAGGAAAGACAGCTGCATCAGCCACAGAATTCTGAACCTATAGGAATTTTTCAGAGTGAACAGTATTGCCATTAAAATGGTACATTTGATACATTTAATTCAATCTCATACTGAATTAAGAAAAACCATAAACAAAATCAAACCAAAATAAATACTTTAGAAAATAAAAACACAGCAACTGGTTGACTTGAGAAATTCAAAGAAGTGCAGATAACAGCCTTTCAAATACAGTGTACTGGGTCCAAGAACTGACTGGGAAGAAGTGCTAGTATGAGTGGGGAGTTTTGGAAAGGATCCCTTTTGCCTCAGGAAAACTGAGGCCTAGAGGGACTTCATGGTTCCACTTGTAGCTGAGCTTAGCAAGCTTCCAAGCACCATGATATCAGCCAGGGTCACTATTTTATGTTTCACGGATGGCTTTAAAACCACATGCTACTAGAAAATCCCATTGAGTATGAAAGTAGAGAATTAACAAGGATGCAAATGAAGCCATGAAACATCCATCTCTAACCTGGCATGCCTGACACCATCTGTATACTGCCAGCATACACACAATCTTTTTCAGCTTCTCTTCCCTGCTCATTTTTCTTAGACCCTCTTGGAGCCGAGACCTGGCTCCATGAGTTTTGGCCACCAAAGGTGATTGTGGACTTACCTTAGCTGCTCCTTGCTCTGTCCCCACAGGTCAATGGTCTTCTCAGGAGCCATGTGCAGGTCCAGGTTGCAGACATTGGGTTTCTGGGGGTATAGCTTGAGACACTGTTTCACCCAGTGACGCTGGCAGCCAGGAAGGAAAGGGTTTGGTATGAAAATAAACCCTGACCACAAAGAAAAAAGGAGGGGATGGAGAGAAAGTATGATTAGGCATTTTCCTGTTTTTTTTTTCCAAATTAGAGCAAAGGACATATGTTGGAGGTAGTGAAAAAACACCTTAGACAAACAACTACTGACTGTGCATGTAAGCTGAAGAAATCTATTATAGTTAAATTAAAACCTACTGGAATTTTTCAGTAAAAAAAAATGGTGGCCACAAGGTAGAAGGCAGAGAGGGCAGCCAACACTGGTCCAAGTAAAAAACTGACAATAAAGAACATATCTGCATAAGGCATATTGATTACAGCAAATAAAGGAGTAAGAAATTGGAAAGTCATTTGCTCTGGAGTAAATTTTTTTTTTTTAATGATTCAGCATGATTTTTCTCTTAAACCTTGCAGAGTTAAAGTAATTCTGCCCTAGTTTTTCTAGACTTCAGACTAGCTTTAGCACTGCCTCTGAACTCATACTGTCTTCTTATTGCTGCTTCAGTGCCAAGAACTGTAGAAAGCAGTATCCAGGCTGAGCAAGTCTCTGTTAATGTAAAAGGTCCTCTCCTTTGCTTCATGCTTATTTCCAGGTAAGTCTGGTTGTATCCATACATATTTCAGTATGGTAACACGCAGAAAGAGGGATAAAAGTCCAATTATATCCCAAACTGCTTGTTGCAAATACTTTTCAGGCATTGTTAATTAATAAAACAAAGTAAACACGCAGTTAGTCTTGTGCATTCATTTAGCCAGGCACCTCAGGCAGGGTTCAAGCAGCAGCCCAAGAAAGTGGGTTAGCAGCAGGGTAACAGATTGTTTTGGTCTATATCTTAACAGACAAGAGTCCTTGACATAAGATCTTCCATCACCAGGAGTGCTAACAGGATTCTTCATTGGAATTTTCTCCCCAGCACCTTGGAGGTGTTTCCTTTCAGTCCAGGGTCAACATTTTGATGAATGAGTGTCTGACAGGAAGATGCTATTAGTCTGTATTGTACCTACTCTGAGAATCAAGGCACTCTCTCAAAGACTGTCAGTTCAGTAAGACTCACCAACACAAAATCCATATACAAAGAGATATAGAGGTATAGGAGGAACAAAGAAAAAGGAGGTTTTAAGGCTTTGGCCTACTGTGTCTTTTTGAACTTCTTAGTATATTAAGTTAAACAGAGACAAAAATAGATGAAAAAGGAAGAAGCAAGGCTAGGAATCTCAGTAGGATAAAAACTTGCCTTGTGGCCTTATGAAAGTGGTAATAAAAACCACAAAAAGAGCTTCCTGCCAGCATCTCTCACAGACTCAAGATTAAAGTAACTGGTTCAAAAAAAAGCCTTCAGTGTATTAATAACATACAGTCGTTCATTTCACTCCATTCCCTGCACTTTCAGGCTATGGCAGCCCTCTGACAGATGTGGTTACAAGAAGTTTCTTTGCCAGAAGCATAAAATTTACTTTCTGCTGGCCTCTGCATAGAACAGAATAACAATACTGCCCTTCCTGTCTACAGCTTTTGATGTGGGGTTCTCGAAGCACTTTACTACATTAATGAAATTACATTCTACTATGCATGTATTATCTCCAGGTATTAATGAAGGAATTGAAGCCTGAAGGGTTAGTTACAAGCAGAGATGAGAACAAGAATCCGGATTTTATGGCTTTTATATCAGAAGCTTAGAACGCGCTCATGTCTCTCCAAACCTTTCATTGACCTAGGTTTCTCCTAAGAAACCAGATTAGTTTAGATTTACAAAAGCACTAACAACTAAAAAGTGGGTTACTGCTATGCTTCTTGTATCAAGAAAGGCAGAAACTGAATTTCTAGCAGTTGCAGAGTTTTACTATAAAATTCTATGCAAACACTCAAGATTAATAGTGCTACAAATCAGTGCCTTGCCACACATAGGAGGGAGAAGAGTAAGAAATAAGAAATATATTCTGTAGCAATCTCTCTGAAGTGACTAAAGAACACCACAGACAAGCTTGTGACAACACAACTGAACCTCTTGGCCTTGAAAGAGTTGGTGTAAGTGGGAAGGGCAAAAGAAGAATTCTTTGGGGATCTGTACACTAAAGGAAACAGCCTTGAGGAAGCAAATGCAATTCTCTTGCTACATAGTAGGAATTAATTTGCACCTAAAGAAAGTGGCCTCCAGCCTCAGTCAAAAGAAAGATAACACACGCAGAAGTCCAACAAGAAAAACCTCTCATAAAACCAATGTGCGTCAGTTACAAAGACCCAAAGACAGCATCAGCCGCATCTCACAGAACTCAGGTCATTCATCCAGCTTCTTTAGTCTTATATTTCATTGCTGTGGGAACAAAACCAAATGACCTCCCTTCCATTTGCTCACAAACAAGAAATTCACACTTCATTTAGAGGGCTATTGGGGCAGTCGGTTAAACATCTTGTAGTGCTTTAAGATGTCCAGATAAAGGGTAGCTGGAAAAGGATAAAATATTATTCTTTTCAAATCCATACATGACTTGATTCTAAACAGGACAGAGAATTTGTCAATGTATTTACATTTCATTTTAGTGAAAGGTTTCCTTTCCCAAAGCAGAAGAAAAATGCAGCTAAGTGGAACACTTGTGATTCCTCACGCCCCCTATGTAATTACTAGGAAAGGTGTTTAGACAGACAGTAAATGACAAGCAGATCAAGTGAGTGCAGCTATAATACGACAGGTAAGTGGAACAAAAAGTGTGTAGAGGCAAGAGGCTTACGCCTTTCTCCTGAAGTTATTCAATTCCCGGTGTATTAAACATGCCAGATGGGTAGCATGGCTGCCTCAGTTTCAGAAATGGTAGGCTGGCTTCATAGCAACCCACAGAAACTGACCGAGGTCCCAATGTACCAAAAGAAACATGAGAAAAAACAAAATTAATCAAACAAAAATCCTTGAAATAAGGAGGATCTGGGGAACTACAAGCTCATCAGCCTTACTGAAACCCCTGGTAAGATTACGGAGCAAACTTTCAAGGCAGCCATTTCCAGACACATGGTGGTTGGGAACAGACAGTATGGAAGGCAAATTTTGTCTAACCAGCCTTACTATCTGTTACAGTGAGCTATCCAGACAAGGGGGAAGTAGGGGATGCTGTTTACCCTGGCTTTAGAAAAGCTTTCCACTCGGCCTCCTGCAGCATCACTGGAGCCAAATTGGATTTTATGAGCAAATTAAAAGGGTGAGCTGGACCACCAGGCTTAAAGAGTAGTGATTTGATGATTCAAAGTCTAGCCAATGGCTGTTATGAGCTGCGTTCCTTGATCCTGGGGCCAAGACTGATAACTACATTTACATTAACAACCTGGATGATGGGATGTTCATCCTCATTTCAGTTACAGATAACACTAAACTGGGGCAGTGGTGGATATGCTAGAGGCTACGGCTGCCACTGAAAGGGACTTTGACAAACCGAAGGAATGAGCTAATGAGAACCTCAGGAAGTTCAACAGTAGTAATCCTGCACCTGGGGCAGAATAATCCCATGCAACAGTATGGCCTGAGAACCCAAGAGGAGCTCCAAAACAATGGGCCAGGGGGCCTTGAGGACCAACTGCATGTGAATCAGGAGCACACCCGATACAGTGAGGGCTGGTGACACATTTCCCAGTATTGGTGAGCGCTACCTACAGGGAGGAGATTCTTCTCAGAGGTGCACAGCAAGATTATGAGAGGCAACAGTCACAAATTACAGCAAGAGAATTTTTTACTAGATATAACATTAAAATAAAAAAAATCACAGGAGTGACAAACTGCAAACCTAAGACACATTTCAATTTCTGAAACAACCTGCCTAATGAAATTACTCTGAACATTGAATAGGCCAAGAGGTTCTTATCATTTACTGTACTCGGTGTCCTACACTGACAAGAAAATGCCACACTTCAACACTGGAATTGCTGTATTTCAGCTACTTATCCAATTTGCATAACATACATTGAGGAAAAACAGATTCTACAGAAATAAAATCTCTGCCAAAGGCAACAGGAATCCATTCTCCTGAGCTATGGTCTGGTTGATCTCACTGTGAAACAACTGGCCCTCCTCACCTTCATATATATATTGCTGCATCCCACCCTTTAGCTAGATAAGATAGAAGATGCGTGAATCCAAAGCAACAAGCCTGTGTTTGACTTTTCTTGAAATCAGAAGCACCTACCTGGATACCCATTGAGGCCATAGGCTTTCCACTGGCTAACTGGCTGTAATCCTGCTCTGTAGGCATCTTGATCACTGACTGAAGAAATACTGAGCTGTGATCTAAACACCTGGCAAAAGAAAACAAATCTGGTTAAAAAAAAAGTAAGGAACACAAAGCTTTTCCAAAAACAGCACCGATAAGAAAGACTGCTACCACATTCCAAAGTAAGTCTCATGAAAATGCCAACTGTACCACAGAACTACTGCTTAAACAGCCATGACCAGGACAGGGCATTCTGGTAACAGAGCTCAACATAAGAATCAAAGGACACCTACACACTTTTACAATACTTTTACAATACTAGAGATGGGGAGAGGTGTCCTCCATTCATAAAAAAAACCAAACAGCATGTAACAATGAGAAAAAAATCATCATTATTTATTCATTTCCACAGTACAGCCTCATCATTAAAAAACATTCTGGTAATTATCAATTTTTATTAGAGAGCAACATACCCATAACACTTGACACTTTCAAAGAACATCCCAAATACAAGTTGCTCGTGATCCTATAGGGAACACGTCTATTCTCTTCTGTAGTTCACAGAAGGAGAAGCAGTACAGCAATTACGTTCCCAAAGCTGTCTGATGTGAAGGACTGTAGAAACCCTGTTAATTCTGAATACCACACTGCCACTTCTGTTCCCAACAGCACGGTCAACAGCCCAAGGCTTAGCAAAATATATTTTCTTGACACAGTCTTCTAAGTTGCAATAACACATGTATTTAAACTGCAATAAGCCAACATTTGCAGAAAAAAACCCCAAACTCATCTACTGTGTTTCCACTCCTTTCTTCCCTTATAACAGGGAACTGTCCTAAGAAAGGCAGGGTGGAGGCAGGTAGGTTTTGTTCCATCTTAGTTCCCCAGTTCAGCTCTCCATGCAGCTGTGGAAAAGTACAGGCTCATATAAGGAAAGAGATGGCCAGGCACAGTAGGAATAAGCAGGCAGAGAGAAGCAAGACTTTGTCTATGACAACTTAAAGTGTATGTGAAATTAGGGCCTTTGCACACAGACTCTGCAGTGGTGCATGCGTAAACCAGTCTCTCTGCAGGCTGACAACTCTGGTTAACATCTTCTGAGCAACAGGACTAAATTACATACATAGAATTTCTGAGAAAAATCTAAACTAGTGCTGAGCAGCAGCTTCTTGCAATGTGCTCAGTTTTGCCATTTTTTAGCTCTCTGCCAAAAGCAGCTTTGTGACTGCCACCCCTGAGGAGTTTAGTTCACAGTCCTGTCCACAGAACATCCCCAGGTAAGGCTCTCCCTCTAAGACTCTGCCACCTCTCTGCCTGCTCAAACTGCTTCCACACCACCTGTTGCCTGGGCTTTTGGAGAACAGGTGGTTTCTATACCGAAGAATTATACATGCTGAATCAGTTAAATAAGCCTGGTAACAGGGCAGATGGGGTATGTCACATTTCACTGAAAAGCTCAATTGCTTGAAGCAGTTTTCTGAGAGAAAAGAAGCAATATTACCTGGGCCAATCTGCCTGGCCTGTAGCTCTTTAAGAGAAAAGCCAGATGTTTTTAAACTGGGGGAAAGAGTAATAAAAAAAGTTTTCTCTATTAAGCTGTCACCTGATCTTACAAGGTAACAGGCACAAAAAGAACGACATTGAGAGGGGACAGATGCTTGGGATGCTTTCAAGTACTTTGAATTTCCCAGAAGAGCCATAATGCTGTAATCCTTTATCAAATACAGAATTCCTGCAAGCTCAAGAAAAGCTGAAATGTTAACAACTTCCTTGGTTAATGCTAATGCCTCTAACAATGTCATATGGGTCAGGCTTTGTGTTCCATTTATAACAGCAAAGTTATAGCCTAAAAATAAAAACCAAAGAAAAATAAATATTTTAATAGAAGAGTGAAAACAAAAGACTAAGCATTGCAACTATGAAAAACTGACAGCCAAGTTTCATTTTAACTACATTCCCTACTCCTTTTTTGATGCAGGCTCATAAGTAAAAAAATCTCTGGTTAACAATACTTCAGCAGGTATCTGTCATCCTTTTATGAGGTGACAAAATAGAAAACTAGTTTTGATGATCACTTCTCCATTACTCAAGACATGGTAAGCTGCTAACCACGATGGCTGCTACTTTCAGCTGTGCTCCTGGTCGCATGCCCCTAACCCACTACATCAGCTGAACTCGCCCTGATGACTAAGCCAAGCGTTTATTACAGGGGAGTGAGAAGGGAGAAGAAACTTAAGCAGTGGAAGATAGCACAGCAGGGGGGAAGCTGATCCCAGATCACCCAGTTGTTTCAGGGCTAAGAAAAGGACCATCAGGCCCAGGAAACAGTATCAGCTCCGAGAGTGAAACTTGCTTTTTCCTGTTCACACGTTCCTTTGCTTCTCTTAACGTGTTACATGTGGTTCTATTAGAGGCTTTGGAAACCGCCTACTGCAGTGCAAGGAGCTACTTAAACGTTACGAAAGTAAATATAAGCAAAAGTAGTAAATCTGTGCCTAGGCGTCGCGCTGGGTAGGGGCGGCTGGGCGGCTCCTTGTGGCCTCGGGCGGAGTCCCACGGGCCGAGGGGGCCCTGGGCGAGCCCGGCTCTGGGGCCCGCGAGCGGAGGGGCCCGGGCCCTTCCCAGCTGCCTCTCTCGAGTCACGCACTGGTTTTTAAACAACACAGGGACCCGTAAGAGGCTCAGCGCTGGAGTGCAGTGTCTTCTAGCCAGAAACGGGGTTGCATTAAGGTCTCGGCGTCGAGCACGAAGGGAAGCAGCGACACAGCCACAGCCCCGCGCTGAGACACCGCGCAGAGGGCGGGACGCCCTCGCAGCCCCTCGCCGCGGGCCGCGGACAGGAGCAACCCGGCGTTACCTGGCCCCCCGGCGCGGAAAAGTCCACCACGCCCCGCAGGTCGGACACGTCGCGCTGCCGGTAGAAGCGAAAGAGCCGACGAAACGCATCCTCCCCACCCTCCCGGGTCAGTGCCGCCGCCGCCGCCATTTCGGGCCGGCCGAGGCGGGCGGTGCTGCCGGGGCGGGGCGGGCCCGGGCGGGGCCCTCCCTCTCGCCCGCCGCAGTCCCGACATGGCGGCGGCCGGCGCGGCGCGGGCGTTTGGGCGCCGTTCCCGGCAGCTCTTCGACGTCTTTGTGGCTGAGGTTCCCTGGACAGTGTCGAGCAGTGAGTCTTCCCCCTCATCTCTCCCCTCCTTCTCTGGCCCATCCCTCACCGGTGCCGAAGCTGACGGGGTCTGGCGGCCCCTCCGCGTGTGCCGGCACAGGCCAGGGGTCGGGCCAGGGCGGCGGAGCTGCGCGGAGGCGGCGTGCCGGGGTAACCAGGCGCGTTTCCCCACAGAGGAGCTGAAGGAGTACTTCTCCCAGTTCGGGTCGGTGCAGAGGTGCCAGCTGCCGTTCGTGAGTACCTGCGCGTCCTCTGGGGCGCTGTTCGTGCCCTCTCAGTGAAGCGAGGGCGGGGAAGGGCTGCCGGCTGGGCCTGCGGCTGAAGGCCTGCCCCGGAGCAGCTTCCCCTCTCCCAAGGAGCTGCTCTCTGGAGGCCTCATCTTGTACTCTAGTCTGGTTTTCAGTGCTCGCCACCCTTGGCTCCTTCTCCCAGCGGGTGCCACCACTTGTCTGCGAGCTGTAGGCCTTATTGAAACAATGGTCTCCGTTGGCTTTCAGAGAGTTGTACAAAGCACATCCTTCAGGTCCTGTTGATGCTGCCAGTTCTGAATAACGAACCTAAAAGTGGTTTGAGCTTCTCTATCTTGTTATCATTCTTTTGACAGAGAATAAAGTTTTTATGTGCCTGCTCTCACTGGCCAAAGTACTAAAGGTGTGAGTATGAACCTACAGTCGTTTCCTGCTGTGGGTTCAGACCCCATCCAGAGTGTGGGGCTAACCATAACCTCTGCAGGGTGCTGCCAAGCTGTTCATGCTTCTACCGTTTAGGCTGTTTATCTTCTGAGCATGTAGGTCAGGGATCGTACTATCCAGTGCAGTTTCTTAGAGATGAGCAGTCAAAAAAAGTTTTCCTTTATGGGTAAGTTGCCGGCCATCACTGAAGTAGAGGTTCTCCTTCCTGCTTGTGTTTCTCCATGTGAAGTAATGGTCTGTTAGATTAAGGTCAGTGTGTCGTGAACTTCAGTTAGTGAGCTGATGGGTTTGCTATCAATTGAGGACTAATTTGGAAATGGAAAAAGACAGTTTGAAACAGGCTGGCTGTTTCCAAACACTTGAAGCTTAGGTGCCTGTCTGCCATGCTGTTCCTCAGGCCCAGGACAGGCTGCATTGCTTTGTTGCAAACCCAGCTCCATCACTGATTGAAGTGACACCCATATGTATGTTTTGATTCAGCGATTACTTCAGGAGTTTCATTGGTGCTTAAAACTGCTAGAGATACAAAAATCTGTCAGCAGTGTAAGACAGCCTAATTTAGACATTGCTGTGATACCGAAACCAGAAAGTACCTTGTGGGCAAAAACTTCACTGGTGGTTTGGAAGTGCTGCCAGTCATGCCTGATGATCAGAGTGGCAGATTGAACCTGAACCTGATTGAACCCTCAATTGAAGCCTGCTTTCTTAGTCTCTTAAGCAGCTGCTTTACCTTGCTAAATGCTTTTCAAGTACTGCAGCCGCTTAAATGTCAGTTCTGTTGTGACTGGCTTATTAGTAGGTAAATACTGCTGTTTGAAACCACTGTCTGTGCATTATTCCAGGCTTCAACTATAACTTAAAATCTTGAATTTTTTTATTATTGCTAGATTCAAATTGAAAGGGAGGCAGAACAGCCTTTGCTAGGCCCTCACATGCTGTCAATGATAGCAAAAGTCTTAAAGTGTGAAAAAAGCTCCTGAAACAGCAAGTGTGCCAATTTCTCTGATGATTTCTGAATCCTTAAATTCAATATCCATAGAAAGTTTTAACAGCCTATGTGAATAATACATATAGTAATTGCATTTTATTTTTTTAACTGGTGATTAGGACAGAGATACAGGCTTTCACAGACGTTATTGCTGGATTAAATTCTCAACTCCAGAAGATGTTCAGAACGTGTTAAAGAAGGATTCCCACATACTTGAAGGTTCCAAGGTAATGTGCTAATTTCCTTAATGAAGTAATGAGTTGACACTCTGCCTGTGATTTGACACAGTAGCATGAAAATATTCAAAGTGTGATTAAGCATTTTGCTACTCAGCATGGTTTTGATGTTTTCTAAATAATTAACGCTTCTGTTTATTCCCTTCTCTCACCTCAAGTTGTTAGGGTCGAAGATCATAGAGATACCACAGAGATCGCACTCTAGAGACCAAAAACTGCTATGCTAAAGGAATGTGAATGCAGTAAAACCGTTTGGGATCTGCAATGCAATTAGTTTGTAATTTGCAATACAGGTTTCTGCAGATGGATTCCAATATCTAATCTGGATGTTGGTTGACAAGGGAAACATGACAAAGTAATGCTAATCTTTGAACTTCAGTGAAATTTATTTTTCTTCAGCCATCATTTCATACAGGAGAAATCAGCTGCCTGCTTTCATGTGTTCAAGATAAAAAAACCCCTCCACTAAAGCTAATTTAAAATTCTCTCCATCTTTACCATTTTACATGGTAGTGAAGGAAAAAATGTGACACTTTGGTAATGTCAGTGCATGGTATTGAGACAGTGTGCATGGTCTAGTGCAAGTGTGTGTCACTGACTGGTCACTTAGAGCCAGACAACTGTATCTTCTAGCTTCACTGCAGCAAAGAAACGGAGCAAAGAAATGGTCATCCCACTGCTTTGCAAACATTTAGTATGCAGTGGTGGTGACAGATAAGGAAAAAAGAACAGTGAGTCAATGGCTGCCCAAAGCCAATGATTTATTATCAGGTCTCATGTCAAAATCATTAGAAACTTGCATCTACTGTGTTCCCTAAATTGGGGATTTTCTTACAGACTTATATGTGCTTCAGCTGATCTCGCTACTCAGACCTAGTAGTACAGAGTGAAGCCATGAGCAACAAGCAGGCCAGACACAATCAATTCATGCCTTTGAATAATTAATAGGAATTCTTCAATATCCTTTTGACAACTAGTTGCTCTATCTTGAGACTTTGAATGCTAGGAGATGGTAAGAGTAAAATGAATTGGCAAGAGACTTCAGAGATGTAGTATGTTGATTGTGAGAAAGTGTTTAGCTTGACATGGTTCATACTACTGCATTGGTCTTCATTGGTTGTGGTTACCTATTCCCAAGAAGAACTGACCTGTGAGTTACAACTGTGGTACAAAAATGGAAGCAGAAATTAAAGACTCCTTAAACTGTGACAAGACAGGCAGTAGTCTGATCTCACATAAATTGTGCTGAACTAGGGTGTTATCTGTATGCAATTACCAAAATAAGTACTAGAAATAGTATAGGTGAGTAGTGTCAATTTCCTGTAAATTATTTTGCTGCTTTTTTATTCTTGAAGCTGTAAAATAGCCACATTCATTTAACTGCCTAGGCTTCAAGGCCTATACTCTCACAAGAGGTGCAAGAGCTAAAAGTCTTCTTTATAGTGAAATAAAAAGCAGAAGGCAGAGTGCAGTTAACTTAATTTCTTAAAAAATGCAAGCTTCTCTAGAATACACGAGCACTTCTCCCACTTCATTCTAGGCCAGGTTTAGACAGTTACTTTCTATTAGTTCCACTTGAAAGCACAAGCTTTAAAGATGCATTTTGCTGATAGAATCAGCAATTGCTGTGCAATATATATTCAACTTTCCTGTCAGGAAAGCCTTGTCCTGGGGCTCATGGAACTGAACCAGTTATAAACATATTTTCTGCTTTCCATATCAGTGTTCTGGATGATCGGAAATGAAAAATACTGAGCCTTCTTGCCTACCTAATCTGAATAATTTCCATTGTTTTCAGCTCACTCTCAAACAGCAGACCCGCAGAAGACGCAGTCAAAGAAGGAATCCAAGGGAGTGAGTGGTGGAAGGAGGCTTTATTTCACTAAATGTAAAGAAACTAAAATAAAGATTACTGAGAAACTATGAACGAGTACTTGTTTTAAAACAGAATCCAGCTGTTTCCCCTCCCTTGTTCAAATAAACGGTATAGCCACACTAAAGAAACACTGAATCATAAACACCCCAGCATCTGTTACAGCATAAGACAGTAATTATATACAGCAGGAAAGCTTTTAACAGATTAAGTCAAAGCTTGAACTACCTACAAAAACTAAAGCCGTAGGAAGGAGTCTACATTCTTACCCTGAGATGCTGGGCAAGGGAGTATCAGCAAAGTCAGAGAACTTGCTAAGAATAACTAATTCCCTTATGAAATGTTTCAAAGTGGTCTCTATTCCTCCTCTCTCCAGGGGCAGCTGTCCTATGTAGAAGAATGGGTGTGTGTACAGATCCACACAGGAGTTGTGAACTGCTGTGTTACAGTGCAATCCTCCTATACATGTCTGATATTAAGAATTCTTTTGCATGAAGTCCAAGCTTGCAGTCTGTTTCCCAACCTCTCCAGGAGCAGAGGCATTCAGTCCTTCCTCCTCTTTTTGCTCTCATGCTCATGTTCTTTGGGGCGGCTGCTATCTGAGGGCCGTTTAGAACCACCGTGTTGCTTAGCTTCTTCCAGAAACTTGTCCAAACCAAATGGATCCTCCTCAAATTGAACTGGTCCATCTCTGCCCCTCCCTCTGGTGTTACGATCCGAGTTAGAAAATTCTTTGTCAGGAACAAACCTGCAGGAGAAGGTGATACTCAGCTGAACAGCTTCAGAGTAGTAATTAAGAATATTTCTTAACTTTATTTTCTTACCTGTTGGTCTTGATTCGAGCTTCTAGATCATCACCATACATGTCCTTATCCACATTTTTACTTGGCCTGTAGATGTTTTGGGCCATATCTTTGCCACTTCTCCAAGGCTGGTCATAAACATTATAAATTTCATCCTCTCCTCCAGCAAAGCCACTGTCCATACCCTATGAAGAACAGCAGAACACCACAAATGAGACTGCAAAACTTCAGCTAACTTATTTTAATGTCAAAATACACTGATGGCGTTACTCAGATACACAAAAATGGTATTGTGTGATTTACTATTGATTTCAAATTATTCCGAGCACTTTATCAGGATATGAGTGGGTTTGGGTCTGGGATGAAGTCCAGAGTACGTAACATTACAAGCCTCAGTCCTCTTCCAAAGAGCAACAGGAAGGATTATAGCCATCCATATTTCAAAATAATGGATCGTTTCAGTCTACCCTACAAGTACAGCTGCCTACTAGCTAAGTACAACCATACAGAAATGTGTATTATTCAGAATTTCTGGAAAACATGATTTAAGCTGACTGATCCAAATCACACAGAG